TTAAACCCGGGAGGCAGACATTGCAGTGAGTTGAGATCGTACCACTGCACTCCAGCCTGGGCAACAGAGCAAGACTCCGTCTCAAAAAAAATAATAAATGAATAAATAAAATAAAATAAAATAAAAATACAAAAATTAGCCAGGCCCAGTGGCGGGCTCCTCTTGTCCCAGCTACTCAGGAGGCTGAGGCATTGAGAATCACTTGAACCTGGAATGCCACGGTTGCAGTAAGCTGAGATTGCGCCACTGCCCTCCAGCCTGGGCAACAGAGTAAGACTCTGCCTCAAAAAAATAAAATAAAATAAAGTAAAAAAAGGTGAAATTCTCAAACCAGGGAAAAATTGTAAACGTGAATATAAAATATGTGTCCAAGTCAGTATGGGGAAAACTTGTAAGCGTTAAAAAAAAAAAAAAAAGTAGTGGCCGGGCAGGGTGATTCATGCCTGTAATCCCAGCACTTTGGGTGGCCGAGGTGGGTGGATTGCTTGAGCTCAGGAGTTAAAGACCAGCCTGGGCAACATGGTGAAACCCCGTTTCTACCACAAATATAAAAATCAGCTGGGTGTGTTGGTGCACGTCTGTGGTCCTAGCTACTCAGGAAGCTGAGGTGGGAGGATTGCTGGAGCCCAGGAAGTTGAAGCTGCAGTGAGCCGTGATCGCACCACTACACTCCAGCTTGGATGACAGAGCGAGACCCCTGTCTGGAAGAAAAAAAAAAAAAAAAGCTCTGGGCAGAGTCTGATGCCTGTAATCCCAGCACTTTGGGAGGCTGAGGTGGGCAGATCACCCGAGGTTGGGAGTTCAAGACCAGCCTAACCAACATGGAGAAACCCAGTCTCTACTAAAAATACAAAATTAGCCAGGCGTGGTGGCGCATGCCTGTAATCCCAGCTACTCAGGAGGCTGAGGCAGGAGAATTGCTTGAACCCGGGAGGCGAAGGTTGTGGTGAGCCGAGATCACGCCATTGTACTCCAGCCTGAGCAACAAGAGCAAAACTCCATCTCAAAAAAAAAAAAAAGCAATACACACTGGAAAATACCATTAGATTCAACTATATAAATACTTACATGTATTTCCCCAACAGCACCCCTCCAGCACAATAGATATTTCCATCATATGTGGAATCTAGGGTTAATCTGAATTCAATAAGTTAAAAAGAAAGAGTTCTTAAATCAGTAAGAAAAAACTGAAAATCTCAACAGAAAAATGGATAACATATCGGTGCTTGAAGTGGTCTGGTGACCTATGGAGGTTTCCAAGAACTCTTTCAAAGGTTCTGTGATTATTTTCATAATAACAGTAACTTTTTTTTTTTTTTTTTGAGTAACAGAATCTTGCTCTGTCACCCAGGCTGGAGTGCAGTGGCGCGATACTGGCTCACTGCAACCTCTGCTTCCCAAGTTCAAGCCATTCTCCTGCCTCAGCCTCCCAAGTAGCTGGGATTACAGGCGCATGGCACCATACCTGGCTAATTTTTGTATTTTTAGTAGAGACGGGGGTTACACCAAGTTGGCCAGGCTGGTTTCGAACTCCTGACCTCAAGTGATCCGTCTGCCTCAGCCTCCCAAAGTGTTGGGATTACTTACAAGCGTGAGCCACTGCTACTGGCCAATGCTAAGATTTTGTTTGCCTTTTCCAGTGTGTTGACATTTGTGCTGATAATGCAAAAGCAACAGTGGCCCTTAACATGAATCAAGAAAGTGGCACTAAACTGTACTAGTAATCGTGTTCTTCACCACCACGTCATTTTCACTTAAGAAAGTCCTCTTCAGTGGGGTGCGGTGGCTCACGCCTGTAATCCCAGCACTTTGGGAGGCCGAGGCGGGCGGATCACAAGGTCCGGAGATAGAGACCATCCTGGCTAACATGGTGAAACACCGTCTCTACTAAAAATACAAAAAAAATTAGCCAGGTGAGGTGGCGGGCGCCTGTAGTCCCAGCTACTCAGGAGGCTGAGGCAGAAGAATGGCCGGAACCTGGGAGGCAGAGCTTGCAGTGAGCCCAGATCACACCACTGCACTCCAGCCTGGGCGACAGAGCAAGATTCTCTCAAAAAAAAAAAAAAAAAAGTCCCCTTCATCTGTAAAATGGGTAAATGAAAAGATAGCAGAAAGAATGTCCTTGTTGAAGCAGCAAAATATGAATTTTATTATATTTGAGCTCACGTCCTTTTTTTAATAGACCTATCTTTTAGAGCAGTTTTAGGTTCACAGACAAATTGAGCATAAAGCACATATATTTCCCATATCTCCCTGCCCCCACGTATGTATAGCTTCCCTCACTATCCTCCACCAGCAGCAAGGTTATACATTATTTGTTACAATCAATGAATTTACGTTGACACATCATTATTGACCAAAGTCCATGGTTTAAATTCAGCTTCACTCTTGGTGTATATTCTATGGTTTTGGACAACTGTGCATGACATGTATCCACCGTTATAGTGTCATACAGAAGAGTTTCACTGTGCTGAGAATCCCCTGTGCTCTACTTGTCCCTCCTCCCTCTTTCCCCTGTGGCAATCAGTGATCTTTTTACTATTGCCATACTTTGGCTTTTCCCAGCAGGTCTTATTGTTGGGATCACAGAGTATTTAGGTTGGCTTCTTCATTTTTTTTTTTTTTTTAGAGACAGTGTCTCTCACTTTTTTGCCCAGGCTAGACTCCTTGGGACTATACAGGTGCATGCTACTGTGACTGGCTTCGAACTGGCTTATTTAACTGTCATATGCATTTTAGGTTCCTCTGTGACTTTTCATGGCTTGATAGCTCATTTCATTTTTGCACTGAATAACATTCCATTCTCTGGACATACCAGTTTGTTTATCCGTTCACCTACTGAAGACTATCTTAGTTGCTTCCACGTTTGGCAAGTATGAATAAAGCTGTTATAGATCATCTGTGTGTAGGTTTTATTACTTATTTATTTATTTATTTATTTATGTGAGACAGAGTCTCACTCTGTCGCCCAGGCTGGAGTGCAGTGGTGCGATCTCGGCTCACTGCAAGCTCCATGTCCCAGGTTCACGCCATTCTCCTGCCTCAGCCTCCCAGGTAGCTGGGACTACAGGCGCCTGCCACCACGCCCAGCTAATTTATTGTATTTTTAGTAGAGACAGGGTTTCACAGGATTTTAGCCAGGATGGTCTCGATCTCCTGACCTCGTGATCCGCCCGCCCCGGCCTCCCAAAGTGCTGGAATCACAGGAGTGAGCCACTGCGCCCAGTCATCTATGTGCAGGTTTTTGTGTGAATGTGTTTTCATCTCATTTGGGTAAATACCAAGGGAGTGTAATTAATGGATAGCATGGTAAGAATGTGTTTAGGGCTGGGCATGGTGGCTCACGCCTGGGATTACAGTGCTTTGGGAGGCAGAGGCGGGAGGATCACTTGAGACCAGGAGTTTGAGACCAGCCTGGACAACATATTGAGACTTCTGTCTCTACAAAAAATAAAAAATTAGCTGGGTGGGGTGGTATACACCTGTGGTCCCAGCTACTTGGGAGGCTGAGGTGGGAGGATCCCTTGAGTCTGCGAGGTCAGTGCTGCAATAAGCCTTGATCATGCCACTGCACTCCAGCCTGGATGACAGAGCAATACTTTGTCTCAAAAAAAAAGGTTTACTTTTGTGAGAAACCACCAAACTGTCTTCCAAAGTAGCCATACCGTTTTGCATTCCCACCAGCAGTGAATGACATGAATGAATGAATGTTTTAATTTGCAATTCCCTAATGACATATGATGTTGAGCATCTTTTTATACACTCACTTTCCATCTATATATCTTCTTTAGTGGGATGTCTGTTCATATCTTTTGTCCATTTTTTAATTGCGTTGTTCATCTTCTTCTTGTAATTTAATTTTTTTTTTTTTTTTGAGACAGAGTCTTGCTCTGTCACCCAGGCTGGAATGCAGTGGTGCGCTCCACTCTCTGCAACCTCTGCCTCCCGGGTTCAATCGATTCTCCTGCCTCAGCTCCCGGAGTAGCTGGGATTACGGGTACGCGCAACCACACCCAGCTAATTTTTGTATATTCAGTAGAGACGGGGTTTCACCATGTTGGCCAGGCTGGTCTCGAACTCCTGACCTCAAATGATACACCCGCCTTGGCCTCCCAAAGTGCTGAGATTATAGGCATGAGCCACCATAGCCAGTTTTTGTTTTGTTTTGAGACAGAGTCTCGCCCAGGCAGGCTGGAGTACAGTGGCACGATCTCCACTCACTGCAACCTCCACCTCCTGGTTGAAGCCATTCTCCCGCCTCAGCCTCTCAAATAACTGGGATTACAGGCATGTGCCACCAGGCCTAGCTACTTTTTGCATTTTTAGTAGAGACAGGGTTTCACCAAGTTGGCCAGGCTGGTCTCGAACTCCTGACCTCAAATAATCCACCCACCTCAGTCTCCCAAAGTGCTGGGATTACAGGCGTGAGTCACTGTGCCCGGTCAGTAATTCTTTGTATTTTTTGGGTAACAGTCCCTTATCAGATGTCTTTAATTTTTTAAATTTTTAAATTATTTTTATTTTTATTTTTTTTGCAACGAAGTCTCCCTCTGTCACCCAGGATGGAGTATAGTGGCACAGTCTCAGCTCACTGCAACCTCTGCCTCCCAGGTTCTGGGTTCAAGTGATTCTCCCGCCTCAGCCTCCCAAGTAGCTGGGATTACAGGCATCTACCACCATGCCTGGTTAATTTTTGTATTTTTAGTAGAGATGGGGTTTCACAATGTTGGCCAGGCTGGTCTTGAACTCTTGACCTCAGGTGATCTGCCTGCCTCGGCCTCCCAAAGTGCTGGGATTACAGGTGTGAGCCTCCGCACCCAGCCAAAATATAGTACATGTTTAGTAAATTACTGTTGAATGGAAAACTGAATAGGTGTTCTGAGTGAGGAGAAAGTCTAACCATGGGAAATTGGAGAGAGGTGGGCTGAGTCCCTGACAGTAACCTTCATTCCAGCACCAGCTGGTCAGGCCCCTCTGAGACCCATGTGATTTCCAAATAGGATCAAGCAACCCCTTCTGAGCCTGAGATTGACCTGGAGGCTCTCATGGATCTATCCACAGAGGAGCAGAAGACTCAGCTGGAGGTAGGATGGGGGCTAGAAGCCGGCCTTGGGTCAGAGGGAACCCAGACTCCCAGGTTCTGCCTCCTTTGGTGGAGTGGAGAGAGCCAACCCAGAGGGGAGAATTCTTGGGAGATTGGTGGGGACTTGTGGGAAAGTGCTGTGACTTGGGGCCCTCTCTGTGTTCTCCCCTATCTAGGCCATTCTTGGGAACTGCCCTCGCCCCACAGAGGTAAGGGACGTTCTGCTGGTCTGGGGTAAGAGGAGGCCCAATGTGGGAGGCAGCTAATGAAGAGGAGTATTCGAAGGGAAGGCTTGCCTGTGGGTCTTCTCCTTCTCTGGGGAGTTAGGGGTAGGGGAAGATTAGGGAGGGCAGGGTGAGGGGTGAATTGTGACCCCAAGCCTTGGTCTCACTCCTGTTTCTCCCTCAGGCTTTTATCTCTGAGCTGCTCAGTCAACTCAAGAAACTCCGGAGACTCAGCCGGCCTCAGAAATAAGCCTGAAAGACCATCTTTAGCAGCCTCAGCGCTGCCAGGCCTGCCCTGAAACTCCAGATCCTGGCTAAGAGAGAAATAGCTCCTTGGGACACAAACAAGAAATGTGAACAAGGAGGGACATTTGCATACTCCTACTGGCTGTGCGGTCACAACTAGTTTCTGTCAGCTGGGCTCTCTGGGAGAGAGCTGGCTGCTGTCTAATGCCTTTCTTGGCAGCCAAGTGGATAAAACCTTTAGGAGCCCCAGCTCAATGGAGTGTGGAACATGTCTGTGCTGAGGGACAGGGGAGGGAGAGGATGAAGTGATACACAGGAAGGCCACAACCTAAGTCACTACGCTGTGCCCACACACCCCGTCCGTCCGTCCGTCCGTCCGTCCGTCCATCCATCCATCCATCCATCCAAAGGACTCGAGAATTCAAAGACGAAGGTCACAGCTCCACTTCAGAGAGATCACAATCTAGCAAGGCCAAGGAGCCAAGCAGACATTATCTGCCTAAGGTACACAGCCTCCTGGCATAACCAACAAGAGGGACGCCAATGGCAAAGACTAGTTTCAAATCCTAGAGAGGAAGTAACAGGAAAAACCTAGCTGGATCCGAGAGCCTCAGAAAAGGCTCCTCCAACCACAAATGATGCAGGAGGTAGACCTCAGCCCGAGGACTCCTTAGGGAGTTGGTTCTAGCCAGGGGCAGGAAGAGAAATAGCAGAGGCAATACAGAGGCATGTGAAGGGTACATGCCGAGAGGTCAGGGGTCCGGTTAGGGCGCATCACTGGAAGAGAGATACTGAGACTGAATGGCAGGCAGGTTGGTACAGGAGCCCTAGGAGGTGGGGTCCTTTGCCAGTAAGGCAGGAAGCAGGGTGTGTGTGCATTGTCCCAGCATGCATTGTGTGAGTAGTGGAGAGGCTGAGAAATCCAAGATGGTGGGGCCTGGTGGCTAAGTAGGGCTGCCCAGAGCTGGAGCACAGTTCAAATGAATGAATGCACATGTTTACTTCATGTGACGCCACCAGGATGGGTAGGGTTGCTCCTGCCTGGAGAAGTTCATAGGATGGCTCAACCTTTTCCCCCATTCCCCACAACTGTGCTTACAGCCTGCTCTGTTCCTGCCACCGCTCACAGGGCCCAGGCTCACAGGGTTGTAGAAATGAGATGCTAGGCTCAATGAATCAACATACTTTATTAGATCCACTAAGTGCCAGGGGAGGGACCTGTGCCCCAGAGCCAGGTTACAGGGCTCACCCGTAGATTCAGTCTGGTCTCTCCCCATCATGCCTCTCACTTCCAGTCTGGGCTTCTAATAGGAGGGCCCCGACTTCTTCCCTCGGCCCTCCCAGTCATCTTCTCGAATAGAGAATCTTTCCTCATTCCAGGGACACCAAAGCTCAGGAAGGGGCCTATCCATCATCCGTAGAGCCAGACAAGCTCTCCCATCGGACGTCCTGTGGCTGGGCCCAGAAATGGGTGCCACTGCCTGTGGGACTGCCTTTCCAGGAGAACCAGGGTGTCCTCAGTGCTCTCGGCCTGCACGCGGAGGGGAGTAGGCAGATGTGTGGTGCTCTTTAAGCTCAAAGGCATCATGGCCCTCTCTGTGGAACAAAGGGATACAAGTCAGGGATCCAGGCAGCCCTTGAGCCCTCCCACAGAACATTCCACCTGCACCCACCGGAAGCAGCGGGCACAGAAGAGGTCCCCGTCGCAGCCAGCGCAGCGTAGGGTGGCATCCTCATTGCAGATGCAGCACCAGGGGAGCTCCTCTTCCTCAGCCTCAGGCCTGGGGTCCACATCCTGGGCCTTCAGGGACCAGAGAGGCATAGAGGAAGTAAGGTACCCAGTGGGGTGTGGGAGCCGCTGCAGGAGCAGTCAGCCAGGCAGGAAGCAAGGCTGTGGGCGGCCTGGGGGTCTGCACCTGGGGCTTTTCTCACCTCAGGCTCTGTCCTTCGGGGTTGGGTCCGGGGTCGAGAAGCCTGCTCTGCCGGGATGTTAAAGCCACTTGCCTCATCCAGGGCAGCTTCTTCAGTGAGCTGCAGACAGGGTGAAGAGGTACCACTCCCTGCTCCAGGCCCAGGCCCTCCATCTCCCAGTATTTCTGTGTGCTGTGGACTTAGCTTCTCAAACTCATCTTTTTCTTTACTTGTGGCTTGTGGCTGCTGATTCCCTATCTCCAGGGACCAGTGGGCAGGTCTGGGTCACAGGGACAGTGGGGGCCCAATGAGAACTCCCAATGAGGCTCCCACACCCCACTGGGTACCTTACTTCCTCTATTCCTCTCTTGTCCCTGAAGGAGCTTCACAGCTGCTGTCCAACCACAGTGGAGGTGGGGCAATGAGGCAGAGATGGGACCAGGGGTGGCAGGTGAGTAAGCCAGGCCCACCTGCTGCAGGACTCTCTGGATGGCTGTCTCCTCATCCTCGTCGTCATCACTGTCTGGGAGGCCATAGTCCTGGAGGGTCACTTGAAGAGGGAGACGGGAACAGGGGAAGGGGGAGTGAGGGTGAGAGATTTCACATGAGTGGCTGCCCTCCTGCCTCCCAGAACTGGTTCGGTTCCCAGGGGCACTTATTTCAGAGCTGAGAAGCCTCTTCAGCTACCCTGATCAGACCTGTCCCTGCCTGCCCCAGCCCTGCAGGGCTGGGCCATCACTGAAGCAGGCCTGAGGGCTAGGTTGGAGGCAGGAGTGGAAGCCTCAGCCCCTGAATGGACTGAAGGTCCCCTGCCCTCATGGCTGCCCCTGACTCCTCCTCACCCACTGCTTTGCTCTACCACCTTCCTTGTGGCTCTGGGCTGGGCTCAGCAGATCTCTGGACACAAATACCCCCAGCACCTGACTCAGCCCTGCCAGGGAGGCCTTGACCAAGGGACACCAGTGAGCAGCTGCTTCCCAGCCTTCACCTCTCTCGGGGTCCTGTCCCCGCAGTACGGCCAGTCGCTTGGCCAGGGCCAGAATCCGTTCCTGCCTCGTGTTCTCCTCCCGCAACTCAAGTGCTGCCTCAGCCAGCAGTCTGCTCTTCTCCTCCTCCAAGGACCAGCTGGCCTGCTTCTTGGAATTAGTGCTCCCTGGGCCACCCTGGTTGAGGTCATTCTGGAGAGAGGCAGCTAGAAGGGGTAATGCCATCAGAGAGGCAGAGACATCCCAAGATCTCTCCTCAGAAGCCAATGAGCCCATTTCTCAATGCTTTCTTGCTCTTAAATAATTTTCTTTCTTTTTTTTTGAGACGGAGTCTCGCTCTGTCACCCAGGCTGGAGTGTAGTGGTGCGATCTCAGCTCACTGCAACCTCCGCCTCCCGGATTCAAGCAATTCTCCTGCCTCAGCCTCCCGAGTAGCTGGGATTACAGGCACATGCCCCCATGCCCAGCTAATTTTTGTATTTTTAGTAAAGATGGGGTTTCAACATGTTGGTATCCAACTCCTGACCTTGTGATCCACCCACCTCGGCCTCCCAAAGTGCTGGGATTACAGGCGTGAGTCATCACGCCCGGCCTTTCTCAACCCTTTCTAATCACAGATCATCAGCTTTTTGCTCAGCACTAGAGCCTATGGTTTCTATTACAAATAAAATCAGTATTCCTCCATTTTCCCAAATGTAAAAAACTAGTAATCTTAGCCATGTCTTTTCCAACCACATCCATCCCCATCTACCTGATATTTTAACATTCTGTCCTAAGGGTGGGTGTCCTATGGTTTGAGAATCACTGCCCTAAAGGAACAAGACATGATGAGGCCAAGGTTCAGTCAGTCTCTTTGCCTTTCAGGGCAGGAATTACCATTTCCTGGGATCAGCACAGAGAGGGCAATGAAGCCAAGACCTTGTATATCACTGGGCAGGAAGAATTTTACCAGATTAGGTGTGGCTCTGACACAGTCACCTTCAGTTTAGTGTTTCAGAGCAAGAGGTTTAAAATTACAGCTTAGGTTTAAGTCTCATCTCTGCAGCTTAATGTCTGTGTGACCTTGGTCAAGTTCCTCAAGCTCACCAGGCCTGTTTCCTCATTTATAAAAAAGAACAGTATATACCTTATAAGATTTTTTTTTTTAAAAAACAGGGTCTTGCTATGTTGCCCTGGCAAGTCTTAAACTCCCAGGTTCAAGCTATCCTCCCTCCTGCCTCTGCCTCCTTAGGTGTTTAGGATTACAGGCATGAGCCACCACACCTGGCCTCCTAAGATTATCAAGGCTATTCAATGAGATTGTGCCTCTAAAGCAGGATTTCCCAATCTTAGCTCTCTTGACACTTTGGACTGGGTAATTCTTCATTGTGATGTGCTGTCCTATGACACAGTAGATTTAGTAGCATCCCTGGCTTCTATGCTCTAGGTGCCAGTAATATCCTGAGTTGTGACAACCAAAAAGTCTCTAAATGTTGCCACAAGTAGCCTGGGGGCCAAAATCATCCTTTGTTGAAAAACACTGCTCTGGCCGGGCGCGGTGGCTCAAGCCTGTAATCCCAGCACTTTGGGAGGCCGAGACGGGCGGATCACGAGGTCAGGAGATCGAGACCATCCTGGCTAACACGGTGAAACCCCGTCTCTACTAAAAAATACAAAAAACTAGCCGGGCGAGGTGGCGGTCGCCTGTAGTCCCAGCTACTCCAGAGGCTGAGGCAGGAGAATGGTGTGAACCCGGGAGGCGGAGCTTGCAGTGAGCTGAGATCTGGCCACTGCACTCCAGCCTGGGCGATAGAGCGAGACTCCGTCTCAAAAAAAAAAAAAAGAAAAACACTGCTCTGAAGCCTTCAAACAGCACTGTCCAACAGAATGTTCTATGATGACGGAAACATTCCATATCATGTTCTATATCTGTGCTGCCCAAGATGGCAGCCATGAAGCCCATGTGGCTACTGAGCATTGAGATGTGGCTGGTGCTACTAAATAGCTTCTTCCTCCTTATCAACATCATGATTGCAGAGAATATTCACTGAGTACTCACTATGAGTCAGATACCATCCCAAGCACTTATTGGATTATCTCATTTACTCCTCGTGATTTCCCTGAGGTAGGTTTTTCCATACATATCTTCATTTTACACATGAGGAAAGTGAGACTTAGGTCAAGTAACTTGTCCAGCATCACACAGCTAATACGTGGTAGAACTGGGAATCACTGTCTGATTCTAAAGCCCATGCACTTAAACACTAGACTTACACTGGCTCCCTTTGGAGTAAGCACTCAATGAATCGTAACTCTTACAATGTTGATCACTCTCTGATTTACATTCATCTCCCAGAGGGTGGACAGCAGAGC